GCACCTTCACACTAGAAGAGATGAAACATCATGCTGAAGACCGATGCGCAATAGATAACTTTTTTAAAAAAAATGCTAAACCTGTTCTCTGCCAGAGTTTTGTTAGGCACAGCACTCACACTTCTTTTGGCTGTTCCTAAGAAGGGCCGTAGTTCAGAGGTGTGATTTTTAGAAGATTCGTCCAGAAATACAGTTTGAGCAGTTTTTACCGTACCTCATGCACAGGAGCAAATTTTCTAACAAATTTACATTTTCTAAGTGTTGAAAACAGTGTGCAAGAAGCCCTTGGAAACTGTAATTGTTTTCTGCTGTCATTTTAGTCTTTGGGTTTTTGTAGGAACATCTGTTGCTCAGACCATCCTCCTCTTCTGTCTCTGTTTTCACAGTCCTCATGCAGTGTGCTTGATCACAATGGATCTTGGTGCTTCGAACTGCGCACTGCACCGCATTATGGCTAATCTGAACCATAATTATGCTGGGATATCATAAGTCAGCCCATGGTGATTGAACATTATCTACTACTGAAATATAGTGGAACGCTGGGATGGAAAAAAAGAAAGGCTGGAATAAAATCAAGTTTGAAAGTAATCTTTCAAGTATATTATAACTCACCCTTACACAGAAGACATAAGTCCTTGTTGTAGGGCTTGCATTGAAGTTTCAGTCTCCTATTTTTAAAGGGCCCATATAGTACATTTTTGTTGTTTTTTTTACATTTTTTCCACTAAAGGACTGCTTGTGACATTTGAGTGAATTTATGTACTGTAAACAGACCAAATTTTTTATATGACCATTTTCCTTGATATACCCTAGAATTAAAAAGGCTTTTTTAAATTTATTTAGTTTTTTTTCCCGCAGTGCCTTTAAGACTGATATATGAAAATAAGCTACTTTCTGATTGGCTGCAGTGTTTTGTGCCTCATTCAAAAAGCAGGGCTGAAACACTCCTTATAACTTCAGCGTGAGTAGGCAGTGCTGTAAAGTTGGGATAGTAAATTCAAAGCAGAATGTTTTAGCAGCTTAGCTTCCATATATGGACTTTATGCAGCGAGGAGCGAAAGGTATATTTTAAAACAGTTTTTTTTTACTTCACTAATCATTTTCCTTTAAAAGAAAACAAAGTGATGTGGGACTTGCTTGTTTCTTGCTTGGAAACAGCAAAAAACTGGCAGTACAGTATGTCTATCCTTGACTTAATAACCTACGGACCATTAATGTATATGATCCAAACTTACACTGCCATATTCCTGTCCCATATTTCTCCTATTCAAATACTAACACTCTCTCAAAGTAAACCACCGTGTCTAAATATGTGGAAAATATACTGTCTGTGTCTCTGTTTATTATTTCTGCCTTTTCCTGTGTGTATGAGAGAGAGAAAGTGAATGAGTAAGTGTATGTGTGTATGGGGGATTGAATGTGTATATTACGTTAATTGTAAAAGGGCCATAGGCATTTACTTCTGTTTAATACAGTGAATTTGTATTCATGCAAACACAATAGTGCACTCAACCAACTTTAGAGCCCACAAACACAGATTGGTATTAGATTCAGATATACATTGACTATTAGCTCATCTATTCCACACATCATGTGTCTATAGGTCTGTGTTGCTGCCCTTTAATGAAAGGGACCTCTGTTGGACTTTCCCCAAATGAGGTGATTACAGGAGTAGAGTGCTAAATCTCTCACTGCACTGTGTTCTCTCTTAAGTTTTAATACTCTTCTATGTGATTATAAGTCTAATGTGTGACACAGAGGTCATGCGAATATCTTTAATCATGCTGTGCCTGTGCGGGTGGGTGTTTGTTTTGAAACACACTTCATCAAAAGAAGCTGGAATTTTCTGTGTTCTTTGGATTGTGTGTAGAGCAAGCCTTCAAGTCTATGAAGTTCTTTTTACAACTGCGGAGTTTCTAAAAAAGCCCCGTGTTCAGCCACTGATATGTTTTGCAGGAACACATATGAAGTGGTGCTGAAGTGTTCCACTTGAAGTGGAGCATTATCAAGTAAAGCTACTTATTGGGTTGCTTTTAATCTCTGTATATTTTGATACAGCGTAGACCAGTGGTCTGCAGGTATAAAGGGCTAACTTATGTTAGGTTCTGTAAATAGTTTAAAAAATCAATAAATTAGTAAAAAAAATCACTAAAAATTAATAAAGAAAAGTTATAAAAAGTTTATAAATCTTTTAACGAAATTACACAAGCTTGCCAAGCGTGTGTGCAATTTGGTAAAAACTAGTGAATTAACTTTTTTTCAATTTTTATAAAATGTACAAATTCGTTTTTAAATAAAAAAACTATTAACAGTACATAAAACATAAAATATGCTTTTACATACAATGATAGCCTTGTAGGACCTCGAAGTGCCTCTTAGCTGAAGCTTTAGCATAGCTAGAAAACGCTTGCTAGATTAGGCCCAATCCCTGCCAGTCTGCATTGATGGCAGAGGAGCGGTAAAGTTCAGAAACACGCTTTTGGTTTTTAGTTAATTTAGGGAATCATTTCAAGCAGAAGCAATTATTTATTATCGTCCACCCCGATTCTTCAGTGATATGCAGCTGAAGTCAGCTATTCGCCAGCATAAAGCATAAAATAAGCATAAAAATTGCTGTTAGTATACTGATGTCTCAGTAGCTAGCTAGCTAAATTTCCTGTTCCACCTTAAATGGTGCTGCGGTTCAGAATGTAACTGCTGCACCATTTAAGGTGGAATGGCAAATTTAGCTAGCTAGTTACCTAGACATCAGCATGCTACTAGCGATTTTCTTGTTTGTTATGAAGAATATACATTGAAACGACATTAAACTAAGATAATAATAGAGAATATATATATATATATATTCATCATAACACTCTGTTTGGAGTGTTCCTCTGAAAAACATCAGTTTGGAGGTATCTCAACAAAAATTAGGATACCCTACCCCTAGGCATGATTGTGCGAAACGGTGGGGTAGGACTAAGTGGTAGGGGCAAGAAGTGAAATGGAATTGGGCCTTAGTTGTAGTTGCCTTAACTGTGCTAACAATAGTAGTGTAGGCTTAGAAAAACACTGTAAAACACTGAAAAATAAAACAAATGTAAGTAGGGCTGCACAAGAAATAATTTTTAATTGCTATTGTGATGAGTTTCCACAATAAAAACATTGTTAAGGGCTGCGATAACAGAATGGTTCAAATTCTCTTACACATTAGGTTGGCAAGAATGTAGCATTAAAAGCCCGACCAGTGCTTCCCTATGCTGGGCTTGAACGCTGCTCTCCCAGGAGGAGAGCAGGCAAGTTAACCACGCTAAATAGCCAATTACAAAACACCAACATGCACAGCTGTATCCTGACCTACTAGCCTGTAGAAGTGTTTGAAACATAAGGAAAACATGTTCTCACTCTGAGTGCTGTGTGTAAAATACATAGACTGTCACAATTATTCATCATTATAATGAGATTTTTAATAAATTAAATATTTTATAAATATATAAATCTTTTTTGGCCTATATTGAAAAAATTTACATGTGCATGTAGCCTGACTGCAAACATGAATGCAAAAAACTGTTGAGGGACTCTCAACTGTTTTTACACTGAAGCACCTTGTTGGAACTCGCTCATATTTCACAGGCTTCAAATTCTCTGCAAAGGGCCGCTATTAGCAGCCAAACAGCTTTTGATGTGCCATATATATGCAATGCTTTGCATCAGTGACACTGTGTATCCTTACTCAGCCTTTCAGTGCACAAAATAGGCTTGCTGTTCTGACGTAAGCAGCTATTAGTATTTCATAATTTTTATTTTACACAATAATTAATGATGCCTTTGTAATTGTGTTTTTTACTATTTCCTTAAGTTTAGTTAGTTGCATTTCTGTTCACAAAGAAATACTGTCGGTACTTGCAGTACATCCTGTCAGAGATACTCCATTTTAACAGTAATTTATCCTACCTAATGTTGACACAGCGATATCCAACAGCTTTATTGAACATTGCATTTTATGTCCATATTGTACAGCCTGTCAAATAATAATTAAAAAAAAACACTTTGTGCACCAAAGAGATTGTGCATAAAGGTCACTGGCTTAGGCTTCATTTGTCCATTCTGTATGTGGTCTTGACTTGTCCCATTGCTGACTAAGCACAAGGCCTTAGTTATTATGGAAATCTAATTTCTGGAGATGAGTCTTCATCTCACTGAGATAGTAAAGAGAAAAGCTGTTTTGCCCCTCTACCAGGGCTTTTAACAATGGTAACGTTTTCCATATGGTTAAGAGTCCCTGTGCAATTCAGACAAAGGCTGGTCAGAATTCCCCACTTGCTCCTAATTTTTGTCAGTTTTGGATTCTGCTCTGTGGTTTTCTTCCCTTTGAATTCCATCTCCATTAAAAAATGCCTCCAAAGTGTGAAAAGTTCGGTTGGATTAACTTTATCAATTCCCTGCGCTTAATGGAAAACCCCTGCGAGTGGACTTTGAAGTGTCACAGGCGCTTTCCAACAAAAACAGGCTCCGAACTTCTCTCCATCTCTCTTGAGGCGAAGCGATCCATGCTCTGCTGCTTTCCTTGTCTCTTCACACAGCCCGGCATGAAGACCACAAGGTATTCAGGGTTAGGTTCTGACCGCCGCTCACACAACACTGGCCTTGTGGAAAGACTTGTTTTCAGAATATGACTTCGACAGCACTCAATAATGTTCAGATAACTATCTCCTCCTAAATGGATCATAGTGTGGCCACAGATTTTGCAAAAGCAACTTGGGACATGGAGTTTTAATTAAAGACTAGGCTACTTTATGGTGTTGTGAAACTGTCAGTCATATTGGTAGATTTTATTTTTTGGCATGTGTGGCTCTGGCGCATCAAGATAAAAGGTTCATGTAAGTTAATACAAGTAGATTTAAATATTGTACATGAAACTGCAGTAGTCCAAGGATGAACAGCTCTGTTTCCATTTCTTGACGCTTTCTTGCTTGCCTTGCACACACACATAAAGCCCTGTTGGTCACTCTTTCCAGCACGACGTGTCGCAGAGTTTGCTGAAGGCGGCGCTGGACGGCGTGGTGCAGGAGTGTGTGAGCTTCGTGGGAGTGGACATCAACATCTGCTCTGAGACGCTGATGAGGTACAAGCCAAATAGTTTCCAGCAGCAGTCACAACATGGCAACTTCACACTCGCCTCCCACTACTGCTCACCGCTCTGTTTAGTCTGACGCCCTACTCAGCCTGAGCCAGACTGCAGCCATACACACCTACATACCTACACACTCTCACAAGCAAGTTGTTTTATACATTTATATTCACACACTCACACTCCAGCTAAATCTTTTAGTCACATATTCTCTCACACACACACACACACACACACACTAGTAGGATTTTTCAATTATACTGATGCCCACACACATTACTTTTTTCTTGTAGTCTGTTACCTTTTCTTGTAGGTTTTTTGTAGTATGTCTTAAATGTTTAGTGTTATCATCAAAAGTGACTTTATGGCATCGCTCCAGAGAGACGTTTCTGGACCTTTATTTTTCAAAGTTTACACTTATCACTGTGCAAAAGTCCTAGGTGTTTAAGATGATATGTAAAGCTATTTATCTGGGCAATAAGCATTTCGCTGCTGTTGGAACAAAACCTTTTTTCGCTGCTGTCAGAATAAAATTCCATTTTTATTTTTCAGTTTTTGACATAATTTTTTTGTAAATTTCATGATAAATGGACCAAAAGTAATGGCCCAAAATTACTTGTAAAAGTCAGGTTGCATTGATCTCTCGCTGTGCAGTCAGTTGTAGTCTGACTACACGTTAGTCCAGCTTGTTACTGAGGTAGTAGACAGGAGAGCGATCCATGGAAGGACTGGAGTTAGCCTAGCATGGACATCTTGCTATGCCTCTATTTCCTCTCGGCCTCTTCTCCCTCAGTCAGCTGCATTAGTCGGCTCCATGGGGACACATCTGCTACTGAGAGTGTGAACTGTAAACTTTCAGCACTGTCTGATGGTCATAGATGTAAGCACGAGTTTATGGGACGCACGTCTGAGACAAATGACTTGAGAAATTCAGACACGAAACAACATTTAGCACCATTTCTGCCGAACCCAGGGAATGCTAAATTTAGCATTTTGGAAAGAAAAACATAAAATGTGACGTGCATATTTAATATTTTCTGTTTTTCCAATATGTTAAAGGTGGCAAATAAATATTACTTGTTAACATATTTTCACTTATAACACCACTACTATGGACTGCTACTAATAGCACTTGAATAAATGCTAATAAACATGCCCTGAAGAAGGCACAAACCACTACGTTTGGGCATTTTTTAACAGTCCAGTAAGGACATGGCAATACAATAAAGACATTTTATTTTAAGGAGTGTCTTGGTTTGGTGAGTTTTTTTTTCCCCTATTTTTTCCATCTTTTAATACAAATAAACATTTGATGTGTGTCTCCTCAAGCTCTCCTCAAGGGGTCTAGTATGTACACTTAAAATTCAGTACTATTTTTTTAATTAGTCCTTCATTAAGTTAAATCAGATGTACTGCTGATGGAATTTAACAAATACGTGCAATAGCTGGAGTTCACCTCTGTCCTGTATTTGTCTAACCAACATATTAGCAACTCTCTTAAAAAAAACAAAAATCATGTTGCATCTTGTATATTTGTGTTTATTCTAATGTTATATACATTTTTACTGGTGCCCAAGACTTGTGCACAGTACTGTACTTTCTCAAAAACATCAAAACATGTACAAACTGTTCTACTCTGAAGCAGTGACCGTGCTGTTTTATACTATACATACAGTCTTCACACACTGGTCTGTGCATATATAATCCTTGTAATAATAAAATAGTCTAACACAAAAAAACTACATATTTTTGCTGTCATGGCAATGTAATAGCAAAATGTTTACTTTGCTGGTAATTGGAGCTTAGATTAATACAATAGCAATACAAAATCCCTGTCTATGTGCTATTTCTGTGTGTTCCTCTGTCTTAAGTGCGAACCTTTTATTTCCTTTATAAACACATACAGGCAAATTACAGCGAGACACACACCACCCCATACCAAGAAAGTGAATACTAAATGCGCAGTGTTGGACTGCTCCTTTTACTGAAGGTGGCCAAACTCTATGCTGCTGCACCTGAAAACTATATTATGTCATGAAGGGCCAGAAGTGGTAGAGTGTGAAACAGGCAGAGATCAGGTCATCTGTTTACCTGACTATAAATGAGTTCTCAGCTCCAGAACTCCAGACACACACACATGTGCACGCACACACACACGCGCACACACACACACACACACACTCGCACTCTACACATTCGCGACTCCAGCATTCAGACCTTATTTATAAGTGATGACATACTATGTTTACATAGCTGCTTTTGGAGGGAGCTGTCACTTCAAATTGTTCACGCCATGTCACCAAAAAACGTTCAAAGCCTGCCTGTTATATATGAAAAGGTCACAAAGATTATGAGCTCTTCGGAAACCTTTTGGTAACTCCTCTGGAAAATGTTCTCAATATTTGTACTAATCTTTCACACATGAATATGTAAGGATTAGATTAGTATGAAATAGAATTTCCATGCTCCTGGATGGATGTTCAAAGTACAGTCTTTCAGTCAGAATATATGTTGAGAAAAGGGGATTGACCTATGAAGCTATGACTAATACCAAAAACAAACAGGATTTGAAAGTTGCAGTTAGAAGAGAATGACAAGAAATGTGAAAAGTCAGTGCCTTTTGAGTGTGCAGGGGTGTATAAAGTCCCATAGGGGTGTGTGTTGTGTTACAAGGTTTAAAGAAGAGGATAAGGAAGATTTTACAGTAACTACTGAAAAGAATATTGTCAGGAGCACAGTGACATGAGCGTCTGTTTGTGTGTTGGCAGACATGTTGCAGGTCTTAATGCTGGCCGGGCACGGAGCATAGTGGAGTGGAGAGAGAAGAACGGGCCCTTTCTGAATCGAGAGCAGCTGAAGCTGGTGAAAGGCCTCGGCCCAAAGAGCTTCCAGCAGTGTGCCGGATTTGTTCGCATCAACCCTGAGTCCATACGCAGGTACTGGCCAGCTGCTGTTACGGATAGATGTGATCTCTTAGGCTTTGTTCAGACAAGCAGCTCAGAATCTGACTTTTTGGCATATCTGATTTGAGCAGGAAAGATTTTCTTGAAGCCATGTGAAATCTGACCTTTTCCATACAGATTTAAGCCACATTTGGATTTTTGTCTTTTTGTCCTTCTTGAAATCAGAGTGTGCCACAAGAAAAGGCTACTCTTGCCTGCCCCACCCTAGTCAGCCATTACTATGACAACTAATGTAGCTTAGAGGTTACTACCTGATTCAAGCCTGAAAAGGGTAAAGTTCATCGGTACATCAGTCACAGTCACACCATAGATGAAGAGAAGAATGAATTTGGTTGATGGACGTCACAGCAAATCTTTGTCCTTGCTTGTTTAGCGTGCCCAAATTGTATTAAAAGGAACTTCAAATAGTAAGACATCTTTACTTTAATATGATGTAAATACCTTAAACTACGAAAATATATTGTGAAAAACACAAAACATTTTGTTTAATTTCAACTACATATTTAATAGTTAAAGGTATTTACCCCACATCATACTAGCTGGGATTCCTTTTAAGCATTCCTACAAGTAATCGTAGTAGCAGGAGGAACTTAAGTGCAATGAGGTTGACAGTTGATGATAGGAGGGTAGGTACTGTTCTCTGCCAGGTACAATTGGAAATTCAGCAAAAATATGCTAATAATAAATACTGTATTGTATTACAGATGACTAAAATAGCAGTTTATCCCAGCCTAACATTTTCTGTCAGTCAACTCAGATGCTTAGTAACCAATCTAAATGCTGTAAACCTGTATCTGCTTTAATCCATCTCTGTTAGTGTGTGCAAGCAAGTTCGGGTTTCAAATTTAGCAGTACCAGTTGGCCTTAATTGGGTCAGGTCTCAGAATCATGGGATGGGTTGAGTTTTGGTTTCCTGCTCATGCAGACTTATAATGTAGATATGTGAGCAAATGTGACTATAGTGTGGTCATGCTAAACAGATTCGGTCATTTAAAAGGTGCAAAAAGGGCACTCTGGCTAAAGTCAGATTTAACTAACAAGTCAGATTTACCCTGCCGTGTTTGAACGAAGCTTTAGATGTGTAGATTGTTGCTTCCTTCTGATTTTATTTTATTAAAGAGGACTAGTTTATGCATTTGAGTTTTTTATTATATCAAATCAGCACTTATCTTTTTCCCATACTGACCAGTCTAACAAAATATGACCTACACTAAGAGTTTGAAGATTTTGTTAATTTCACTGTTAAAGAACTGACACTTTAGTTTCTATGTACTTTTCCAATTACAAAGCTATGACGTTCTGTGTTTATACAGTTATGGCTCTAGTGGAAGTGCAGACTCTACAGCTGCTGAGAAGCCAACAGCTAAGAAGAGCAAAGCCAAAACCTCCAGCAGCATCTCTAACCAGCCTAACCCTCTGGACCAAACGTGCATCCACCCTGAGTCCTACGGCATCGCCATGAGGTGAGAGCAGTATATCACTAATGTAGCACTCTGTTCCACTTGCAAGGACACTCTGCTCGGTAACAGTCCATTGATAGCTTGGACAGCGTGTGGAGGGGGGTTGGTAGCTGTATGTGTGTGTGTTATTTTTTGGTACATTTTAAGGACAAAATCAAGAAAAAAGGGTAGACTGCATTTTAGAAAATTCTTTTGTTTTTACATTTTTTTTACATTTGGTTTATGCGATTAATGTTAGAGTTGGGTTTAGCATTAGGCCTAAAGCCTTCTTATTACATAAGAGTACTTACATATGCCTCATATGTAAGCGCCATATGTCACTGCCCCAAAAAAAAATGTATCTCCATTGTCCATTTTTCATTGTCCTATATCCCTTGAACGCAGGAGCCATGATTTGCATTGTGTGACAGTTTCATGATGAATGGATCAATAGAAATGCTCCAGACTGCCCTTTTTTTACATTAACTTACCTTGAAAGGTAAAAAACATTTTACCTTCTCCTGTAAAGTTGCCGTTATGTTGACACACTTTTTTCTTAGGACAGTGATGGCATACACACAATGTAAGCAGTTGTATGCGAAGGATTGGCCGCCCTTGGTCAAATTGTGTTTTGTTGATTTTTTTAGGTAAAAATTAGTTTACACGTCTTCTACATAGAACACACTTCTGCACATTTAAATGCCCAATTACTGTTTTTTCTGAATTTAACATATTGGAAAAATGTAGGCCTGTACAAAGGTCATGGCACATTTAGTATTGCTATGTTTTTTACAATATGTTAAACTGTTTAATGTAGAAGATTTGTTCACTTAGTTAACAAAACATCGGTATCCAAACTTTTAGACTTGATGGTTCATACACTATATATAAAAAGTAGACACCCTGACAGGCATTCAATTGTACACACAGCTTGAATAATCTCAAGAGAAATGTGTCGTCAGTAGAATGGGATGCTCTGGAAAAGTTGCACATGAGCCTGGGGTCACCATTCTTGATAACAAGCATCGGCTACAGGGGTATAAAGCCCACTAGCTCTGGGCTGTGGAGCAGTGGGCCTGTGTTCTCAGGACTGATGGAGCTCCGTCCACTTATAGGGTGAGTTGGAGTGATCATCCAACACCAATAAATGACCTCACTAATGCTCTTGTGGCCTGAATGCAATCAAGTCCTTACAGCTATGTTCCAACATCTAGTATAAAGCCTTCCCACACCAAAAGTTTCAGCAAAGGCTATTTAGCTAATTTTTAGCATAACTTAAAAACACTAGGCAATACATGCCTAGCAGTCACAGCTTTGAGCATTTGTACACACATAGTCATAATATTCTCATTAAAGCACAAAGTTTACTTAATTGTAGAAAATATAGTTTATGATTTCTGTAATGACAATTCTCAAGGTTGCACACTGATTTTCACACATGGGACACATTTACTTTAAAACAGTGGAATTTAACTGCTCACCATGTGGCAATGAGGGAAAAGGATGCAGACTCACTCCCTGCTCTGAAATGTAGAGGTGTGGCTAAAATGAGGCCCTGTCTGTGAGCTAAAACTCTGTAGTGACATGAAATAGTGACATGAAAACATTGGGACAGTGTGTGTTCCTTTTTTATTTAACTTGTGATAAATCAAAATCTTTCAATTTCACTTTAAAGGAAATCAAAAAGATCTTTTGAAAACATTGGGAAAAAAAGCTAATTATTATAAACTATTATCAATGTTGATTTTGTATTTAGCTTGTTACTATCTTAATTAATGCATTGGGTTTAAATAGATCGTAACATAATCCTTGTAAATATCTAAGGTCTAAATACATTTTTTTTTAACGGTAACTAATTCAGAAAAAATTCAGTAGAATGGTTCATGTATGACCACACATCCTGATATTGTATTGAAAAAAAAGTGTGTTTGTTGTTTGTGTGTGTGTGTCCAGAGGGTGGTGTGAGGAACTGTTATTGCTGTCGCTGCTCATATAAAAAGCACATTGAGCATGTGCTGCTGGCTTTGTGGCTGTGAATGGGAGCTGTGCCTGCAGCTGTGCTGCTCAAGTCTGTTTAGACTATTCCTCTTTGACACTTGTGATGGCCTATGCCAGGAGATGTGTCTGTACGGAAGCTCCTAGGGCTCGACACATGACAGCTGCAAGTCAAGTCAAAATGAATGTGTCCATGTGTGAGGGAGTATTGACTAATTGAATAAGATTTAGGCACACACTGTTGGTGCTTTGAGAGACAGTCCCAGCTCAGCTTTAGGGTAAGGGTTTTCTTCACTCACCACCTTGTTTTTTCCCAGGCCTATGTCTGTTTTACTTAGTAGGTCTGTATTTAAATGTGCATTCACGTTAGAAGTGGGTGATACAACACAGAGCCAGCGTACAAGATAACCATGCTGTGGAATGAATTTGACTACACAGTTGACTCTGGCAGCACATCCGTTCTCATTACTGTAAAGTTATTTTCACATTTCCAACTATCCATAAACTGACCAAAAACCTTTGTAAGTAATTGAAGCTTACAATGACCCATGCCGTTGCTGTCGAAAACTCAGTGTAGCCTGTGTGCCGGTCTGCCAACACTTGGCCTGATCTGTCGTCAGAGGCGTCTGTGGGGGTTAGAGGTCTAATAAAGCCACTTAGGGGCATGGAGAGGGGGAATAATCACCCTGTCATATCCTCCCACCTCTCTCTCCTTCTGTTTGTTTTCCTTTCTCTCTGTTCGGCTTCATTTCCTACTAAACCAGGCAGAAAAAGCCTCCCTCGCAGTCTCCTGTATTATCGACACACTCTATCGTTACCAAATGCTGTGCTAATGGATGTTCTGCTAGACTCCAATTGTCATAGTGAGCCCGGGTCTATTTTTCTTGGAAAAACAGGATTTGATTAAACATGGCCACCAGCAGTGCCGAGTTCGTAATGTAGCGCCCGGCTAATGTAGCGGACTTAAAACAAGGGTTTCCAGGAGGTGTGGGAGGAATTTGGGGTATTACTAATAAAGTGTGCCGAATGCGAAGGCCGGACGTTAGCCAGAGCTGGAACCGGAGGGCTAATGATGCGAACAGGATATCTGAACGATGGCTTTATAATGATGATGACAAGCTTGACAGATTCCCAACAATCTGCAGCCCATTTCTGCATTGGATTCATCAGTCTTGTCTTCTGTCCCGCTCGCGCTCTATTTCGCTCCCTCTCCTTCATCCCCCCTCGCATGTTATTGGATGCAGACTAACTCTCTCTGGCTTTTTCACTTCCTCTCTCAATCGTAGCCCCATGTGTCTCAGCACTTAAATAAAGCAGTTAATGTGAGCTCACAATTCAATGAAAATCTTCCCGGCTCTCTAACAACTCAGCACTGAGGAACAGGGCCGTTTGCAGGATATGGCGGACTGTGAGATTGGTGTGGACAGGAGAAAAGAGGGCTGAAATCAGACACACATTGCGCCTGTGAAGGCGTGTGCCCACCCTCCTCTCACTCTGGGGGTGATTGTTGCATGATGGCCGCTCTGAGAAGCGTGGGCCAGCAGGCGGTAATGGTGGATCGTGTTGCTCTAATGTGATGAACCTGATACCCTTAGCCCTACCACTGGGAAACACTTCCCACACACGTACAAATACACACACACGTACACAAGTGCTAGGCTGCTGACCCCCTGATGGGTTTTCAAAAGAAAGGTGTGGATTTGGTTAAAGATCTAGACTTGTGCGCCGAAGGTGCCCATATATTGGTTTCACTTGAGCCATTCCAATGAGATGTGGTTAACATGGAAATGACTTCATACAAATAGATTATTTGAATTGCAAAACGCCATATGAGAGGGAAGATTATATGAGATGACCTTGTTTTAGCAAATGCTGGCGGAAGTAAATACCAAAAACTTATGTCTGGTGAAGTTGTCAGTGAACAGACCAGCCAGTGATGCTAAAACAGTATCATTACACTGTGTTGCTTGTGATACTGCGAGATAAGACAGAAGTGCTCATGGAAAAACTGTTTTTTGAGTTAAAACTAAGGATGCACAATGATACTACAATCATATCACTACCAGCATGTATTTGTTTAAAAGTAAATGTATTATTAGTCGACAGATTATTATCTTTTAGCATAGATTTGATCATTCAAACTGATATCTGATGACGCTTTTATTTTATTCCTGAAGAACAGAATGTTTAGGAAACACCAGGCTGCTATTCTACAATGTCTACAGTTTTACTACTTTTGTAATCTTGTGCAGTGCTGTACAAAAGTCAGAGATCATGCTTTCATTTATTTAATTTCCAATCAACATTGTCATAAAGTACAAGTTATTAATTTTTCAGTGTCAAGAAAAAAAACAGATACCATGTACACATAAGACAGCAGAAGTGAATAAAACACCAATCTATAAGTGTTCAAAATGTCTACGCCTTGCTTTTGTCCTCCCAACAAGAGCTGCTCCCAAAGCTCTCACTGACATTAAAATTCACACAAACAACTACCCAAATTCGCCTTAGCTACTTCACTATTTTTTTCCATATGCATCTGAAATGGCTGACTTGGAGATATTTCTGAGGAGATTAGATATAAGATAATCCACTTGCATGAGGAACAGGAAAGTAACTAAATAATAACATGGAAAGTAAAGAAAAAGGTGGGATAGGGGCTTTCCAAAAAGATACAGAGAACTGACACCTCTAATAACCATGCAAGATCTGGTCTACCACCAAAACTGTCATCATCAGATAAATAGTACTTAAACACTTTTATCTCCACTCTTTCTTCGGAATGGAAAAAATCAACAGGTGTTTGTCCATCCTTCATTTGTAAGAAGACAACTGAAAACTCTGGGTCTGAAATGATGTGTAGCTTCTGTTACTGACAAAAGGAACTAGACAGGGATAAAAATTTGCACTAGAACACAGAAACTGGACATCTGAGATGTGGAATAAGCTTTTATGGACTGATGAGTACAAAATTGTTATTGGAATTACTTGGATTATGAGAAAGCAGAAAATGCAACCTACTTCTAAGA